CCGTTCCTCCTTCTATAGTTCCCCCTTCCTCTACTCATTATGCAGAGGAGGGTTCTAGTAGCAGAAGCATGGCTATGAGGAGTGTAACACTTGAGGTTCCTGCTAATAGCAGTCTTTTAATAGAAGTCTGGCGGAGCAGATGTTTGGCTTGAACCCTTAATTGGGGATATTGAGAAAAAGAAGATGGACAGTCACAGTTGTCTAACTTTGATGAATGATATAGTTCACTGTATATTGAAGGTACTCTCCCTTTACTTTTTAATAAGTTCTTTCTTTTTAATTCTAACTTTCATGAGTTGTTTTTGTAGGCTAACCTCATTGGTAAGGAATTGATGGGAAGAATTTCCCTCTTAGAAAAGAAGGCTCGTGAGTCTGATCAGACTTTTCTTGAGGCTGAGAGGATAGCTAGAGAAGCCCAGCTTGAAGCAACCAATTGGAAAGAGCAGTTTAAAAATGCTCAGAAAAAGATAAAAGAATTGCAAGAGAGTAACCGTGACCTGGAACAGCAAAAGCAAATTCTGACTTCTGAATTATCGGAGGCCAAGGCTTCTTCTAGTAAAGCTGAGAAGGATAAAGAGCGCCTTGAATGTTCTTTTTCAGAACAATTATCAAAATCAAGCGAAGAGATTAGAGAACGTAAGGTATTGTTGAGCAAGAAAGAAGAGTACGCGGGAGAGCTAGTTCAAAATTTGTCTCAGGCTCAGGCTGACTTGCAAATTTCCTCTGATAAGGTTCGTGCCTTAGAGAATTCTCGTGCCTCCCTTGAAGCTACCCTTGATTCCACTTTGGCTGAAAATCAAATGTTAAAAAATGATCTTGCCTCGTGGGAAAGGGATTATGAGCTTCTTGAGGAGAACTTTAACACAGAGGTGAGCTGGGCCTTTCAAACTCCCGCCGTGATGCCTTAACTGAGGCCAGTCAAGAAAACTTTGATTTAGAATCGGAATTGGCCAAGGTTTTGAGAACCATTGAAATGACTCAACAACCACTTGACTTTCCTTCTCCGGCAGATGAAACTCCCGTTGCTGAGAAACCTTTAAATGAAGGAGCCGCTTCTGTTGAAGTTGAAAATGTTACAATTCCAGCTCTTGAGGGTGAAACTTCACTGATACAGTCCGTGGAAGCTGAAGCTCCCGTGACTCTTGCTTCCCTCGGTGACTTTAACACTTCAAGCCCAACTGCCGCTACTTCCTCAGAAATTGCTACCGTGCCTACAGTTGCTTCTGAAAGTGAAGTTGACATTGCAACTTCAGAAATTCCAACCCCTTTAGTGACAAGTTGAATATTTTACTCCTTTGTTATTTTTTTTATTAATTGGTGGTTTTATCCCTTGACCTTTTTAAGGGATTTTTTGGTTAAGTCCCCAGTTATCATAATGGGGCACTTGTAAAAACATTTTGCTTGACTAAGTTTTACTTAGTCTTTTTTAAGAAGTTTTTTTGGTACTTCAATATGTTCTATTCTTGCCTTTTTCTTATCTATTTAGGACTTATAGAATAGTTTAGCATTTTTATCCTTTGAAATTGCTTTATGATTCTTCTCATGAGTTATTAACATGAGGTTTATAAAAGAGGGCCCTTTTCATATATCGACACTTAATGAAGAAGACGTCTCAACTTCATAATGATGTTATAATACGATGAAAGAAATAGGAATACACATGTTTTGTATGCCACAACTTTGACAAGTTTTTATTCATGAACTTGAACAAGCTTTTATGTATTAAAGTACATCTATAACTTTCTCGTAATTGTTTTTCTTGTAACAGATTTTTACAAAGTAAATATAATTTAGACAAGGTTTTCCCTTATAACCCGTTTCAGTATATAGTCATGACCCCATCTTCATGTATTAGGAAGCGTTTGAGAGGTGAATCTATTGTTCTCATGAGTGTTGAGAGGTGACTCTGTTGTTCTCATGGGAAAGAATACTATGATGTATGCTTATGCTGGGATTCCATAACCTCTGCTCGACACTTGTCTCTTGATTTACGCATCTATTTTCCGCATGTATCTGTTCTGTGTTCATTATACAGTCCCCCAAGTGTTTAAGCGGTGAAGTATGAAGCCTCGAGCACTTGTTTTTCCTCTTAACTTGGTCCTTTTCCTGAAACAGAAAAATTTGCGGGACTCGGAGGTGCGATTAGAGATGAAGACTGCCTAACCCGTGTGTATTTCCATCAGATTAATTGTAACCCTGGGCTGGGAATTTAAGAATATTC